TGTTTGATATTTGGGTGAAGAGAACAGCATCGCTGTCAACTGATCACCAGTATTAATTTGTATTAGATGGCAGGAAGATGCCATGGGACTGATCTGTAAACCTAAACAGGTAGTGAGAGTGAGACTCCATGGCAGAGGCAGCTGGTAGGTCAGAAGGTTGTCACTGCCCATTGTGGTGACAATCCTAAGGACTCCATACATGAACATTAATTCAACAGTGACAAATAAAGCTGGAATACTACTACTAATAATAATGGATTGCATTTATATAGCACTTTTGGAGACCCTCAAAGTGCTTTACAATTCTCACATTCACACACTGGTGGAGGCTACAGTTGTAGCCACAGCTGCCCTGGGGCAGACTGACAGAAGCGAGGCTGCCATATTGCACCATGGGCCCTCTGGCCAACACCAGTAGGCGGTAGGTGAAGTGTCTCGCCCAAGGACACAACAACCAAGACAGAGCTGGGGATCGAACCTTTCCACCTTCCGGTTACAAGAAGGTCGCCCATGGGGCGACCGTGGTTCAGGGGGTGGGAATTAAGTACATGGAGAAACCTCAATGTACTTAAATTTTCCAGTTTTTATTTTTTATTCAACTGTATATACAATTATTTGAAGTAATTTGCTATTTTGCCATTAAGCACTAAAACTTTACAAAACCAAGGTTGCTGATAGGTCACACTGTAGTCCGGGGGTCTCGACATCCAGGCTCCGAGGGCCAGTGTCCTGCAGGTTTTAGATATCTCCCTGGGTCAACACCCCTGATTTAAATGATTAATTCATTATCAGGCCTCTGGAGAACTTCAAGACATGTTGAGGAGGTAATTTAGCCATTTAAGTCAGCTGTGTTGGATCACGGACACATCTGAAACCTGGAAGACACCGGCCTTCAAGGCCTGGAGTTCGAGATCCCTGTTGTAGTCAGAGTGAAAACACACATCAGCTTTCATTAACCATGAGTCCACAACCTGTGTCTTTAGGTGACTATGAGCGTCTTAAACAAGAAGGCAGTGAGGTGATCCTGGATGTTGTCCAAGGTTTCAAACACCCAAACTACAACACCAAGACCATGGACAATGATATTGCCCTGCTGCGCCTACAGACCCCCGCTCCCACGACTGAGTACATCGTCCCCATTTGTCTGCCAGGACGCGAGATGGCCGAGCGAGTGCTCCACCTGAACGGCACTAAGACTGTTGTCTCTGGCTGGGGCAAAGAGGACATGAACAGCACTAAGCACAGCTCAGTGCTCAACGTTATTGAAATCCCATTGGTCAGCCACAGCATCTGTACTCAGCAGATGTTCCCCCACACGATCTCCAACAACGTCCTCTGTGC